TCTTAATTTACAGTTACTCTAATTGGTGTAACAGCCATATCAAATGCTAATTCTTGCTGTCTAGCCTGCATTTCATCCTTCCACTACATTTATCAGTGTAGACTTTGTATTGGCTGGGTGGCATGTATGGTGTGAGTTTGTGGTTGCCATCCCCACAATACTAGAGACTGCAAGAGGTGGAATATAACCAGACCAAATATGGTCAGAGGGAAGAAATAAAGCAGTAGAAAAGTGAAGGGGTGTAATTGGTGAAATTTTGCAATGGGTTGTTGGAAGTCTCTACATGAGAGGAGTGGGAATGAGAATTGGCAGGACATGGGTAGTAGTGCAGATTTGGTCATGGTTTGTCTTCCCATGAAACTATTTAGCATTTATTCATGTGCATTCAGAGCTGCTCAGTGCAGATGATCTCAGTCCAGCACTGGGGAGGATGAGAATGGCAGGGCATAAGCACCAAACATCTGGCATTCCACAGTAGATGCTATTCTGCTCACTTAACTGAGCCAGGACTTTCACTTTGGTAAATCAGAAGACTTTAGGCAATTCTGACATGATAGATGAATGCAGCATGGGCTTATGCAAGTGGGTTGTCAATAAATGGGAAAGGTTTAGGGAATTAGCTGATACAGATTTAGGAGTCTAGGATTTATATGAGCTACTCATGTGGTGAAAGTTAAAAGCAGTTTGAATCATGTCTCTGGACACAGTGGTTGAGATCCCTTAAGTACCAGGCCTCTTCATCTGAAGGGCAGAGTTGCATCAAATCTTTGCAGGTTTCTTTGGGAGCTGAGGGCAGCAAACTGCTCTTTCAGTTGGAGCCTTTCTTACGGCCCAGGTTTCTTTGACTTTTGTCAAGGCTTTTAAAGACACAGTCTTGTTTCACTGAAAATGTATGCAGGGAAATTACTTTGTTTCTATTATATTTGTTATAGTTGGATGACTTTTGGGGGAAGTATTATATTTGTTGAGCCTGATTTTGAACTTGCTTATGCTAATGCAAATAGGATGCGAGTGATGCCTATGGAAGAAATTAATTTGCTTTCTGTGTAAGCAAATGTAATAATTGCAATCCTTAATTTTTATAAAAATTATTTGACATGAAATAAAGGTTGAGTTACTTCCCTTTTTTAGTTCCTATAGCATTTAAACAAAATAAATTACATACGTGCTTATTCTTATGCAAGAAGATTCATTTGTAAGCATATGTTCATAATTGCTTTAGATACTTAATCTTCTTTTTGCAGCACAAGTTTGGATATAGCCAGGAGCACACAGAAACCTGGAAACCTAATCTTCCTGTGTAGTGAAAGATACCTTTATTGGATAGCTCAGAGCACTTATTTTGGGTGGCAGTTTCTCACTTCTGCATCCAAATCAGTTTCTGAACCCATTATCTGTAAAAGGAAAATAAGTGCACTGTCCAATTTCCCTGACAGACAAGGAGTTAAGTACTTTGTTCAAAAATGGCGGTCACGCAGGTAACAAAACCAAATAGATAATATGTGATTTTTCATTTTCTGAATTGTTTTGTATAATTTTCTACCTTTTAACTTAGTGATCATATGGATTTTAGGCTTCAACAGGAAAGAAAAAGAAAAAATATTTGCACTACTTATTTTCTATCAGCACCTCCGCTGTGATCTATCTAGTATGTTAGATACTGTGTTATAATACAGCACAACCAATGTTTGCCATAAAGACTTGATATTCCAATATACAAACAGGGGAAAGATTTAGTGAATAAAAGAAATAGATGGAGAATTACAGACTGGCAGCAAGATTAATATTCCTAAACAAACAAACAAAAAATCCTAAATATATTCTGCTTTTAAAAGTAATTATCTAACAATTTAAATTAAATTTTAAATTAGCTGTCACAAATACAAGAATATTACAGCTAAATATCTCAAAATAATACAAATGTTGCTCTTCATTTCAAGAAGAGCAGGATTGCTTACGTTTTAAGTAAAATGAGTACAGATGTATTTATGTTTTGTTCAAACTGAATTTTCACTGGAATGTAATGTTTTTGTCCTAATACAAAATAGAGGCATAGTGTCTAATTATTTAATACATATACATTTTTTAAAGATGTCCTGTATGTAAATGCGTGAAATATTCACCATGGCAGGGGTTGTATTTGAAAGGATATTATTGGTATATTCCTAAACTAATACCATTTAAGAGAGTTGCCAATGAAAAAAACAATAGTCTGTTTCTAAATCAGATATTTAGAAAAGGGTATCTTTATTTCTGGAGCAGACAAACATATATTAATCCAGCATATTAAATTTTATGGATTTTTTTTCAAAATGCATAATTTTTATATTGTTTGTAATGCTAAATAGAAAACCATGTCTGAACAAGGTGGGAGTGTGTGAGTAAGGAGAAGGAGATCATTCTTTATCTTTCCTCTGATGAGACAGATAATTTTGTCAAATAACTAGAGCTGCTAGTGGTAAACTAATGAATATTTGTGTATCGATTGAGAAAATTAACGGTTTCACATTGCAAAAATCTTTCTTGTTGCATAGAGGAGACTTCCTTTTTAATTTTGTGGCTGAATTAAGCCACTGCTTTATTTTACTACACCCTTCGTTTAGAATAATCCTGGCTATATAACAGTGATCTGGATTTTCATATGTTGCATATGTAACTATAATATTACAGGTGCAACAATACTGCCCTGGCATTAAATATCCTATTTACTCCTGAAATCACGTGTATGGTTATCAGAGAGTATTTTTGTACCTTCTTATGTTTTTAGGGTTTTTTCACTTCAATTTACATAAGCACTTATGCCTGACTTGATCAGAACTGTGCACATTGCTTATTGAAATCTCCCACAGAACCTCTTAGTGTGTCTTAAACCAGTGGAGGCAAGTAAATGTTTTCTATAGTATGCAGCACAAAACCATAATAATGAAAGCTGTGCAGTACTGCATTTTTGGAGTGTTAACAAAATAAGCAAAACAAAAAACAAAAAAACCCAAATAAAACAACCAAAAACCAAACACACCCAAAAGCAAAACCAAACAAGCAAACCACTGTATTTTTGGAGTGTTAAAAAAATAAGCAAAAAAAAAAAAAAAAACAAAAAACAAATAAAACAACCAAAAACCAAACACACTCAAAAGCAAAACCAAACAAGCAAACCGCCCCCAAAAAATTTTACAAAAATCTGGACAATTCTTCTATTTAGCAATTAGTTAATGTAATTTCTATTTAGAACTGAAATATCTAACCAAAACTAAGAGTTGTTTCTTTCTTTTTATGATAGCAAAACAAAGGTTACCTTAAAATTACCAAATACCTTGAACTACATTTAAAATTATTAGGAAGTGTTCTGACTTAAAACTAGGTCTGCCTACAAACATATATAAGACGTGTCATTATGTATTTAAGTATATATACAGTGATTTTTTTTAATAGGAATATTTAATATATGGGTGGACTAAATTTTTTTCAATACCCTTCTTTCACCTTACCTTTACAATAAGTCAGCAGCTGATAATTTTTATTTATTCTATAGAACATGTTGTGTTTTGATGCCAACAGAATTCTGAATTAAAAATTCTTTATATAATTTAAAACAATCCAGTGCAAAATACAGTATGATATATATTTAATGTACATATTGTGTAAGTGGAAAATATAAGCATTTCTCAAGTTTCTAGTATGCTGGATTCTCAAATATGTGATTTTCATGCTAATAACCATTGGAAATATCTAAGCTTTTTCTAGCTTTAAAAACTTATTTGTGGGGCATGCATATTGGTTTGCAATTAGTTTGACTTTTTAATGAGGCAGTAAAAAGAGACTATTACTAATAAAATTAATTGTATTTTATATTGTTTTGTTGCTAAGACTTTAGAGAGAATTTTGGTGAAAGGACTGAAAAGTGTTGCCCCTACACATATTCCATAAAATTGAGATGAATGTATATCTGAACACAAAGCTTCTAAAAGCAAAGCTTTTGTAAAATAAAACACTTTATTAATTCAGTGTCCTAAAACATACAGTACATTAAAACTTTGGGGCACATTTGTAAAATGTATACCAAAAACAAAAGCTATGAAAAATATGTATAAGTATTGACTTCTTATCCTGGGCATCATTCTTCACTCATAGCAGTAAGTCAATAGGTAATACATTTATTGACATTAAGTATCTTGTGTCAGTTTGAAACTTGTTTAAACAGAAGAAAAAGTAGGATTTATAGGTAAATAACCTTTGTTTGAAACTAGTTGGTAAACTTTTAAATGTACTAATGCCATGTTTTATACTCAAAATCTCAGCTCTTAGGTCCTGTAAAATTTAATTTCCATAGGCTGAACAATAATAACACAGTATATCAGATAATAAATTTCCATACCGTGATGTGGGTCACAGGTTAAAGAATCAAGATCATGTCCTGTTCAAGACCAGCTATTTAATCTGTCCAAGATTTAGCCAAATGTTGTTTTGGTTGTGGTTTTTTGTTTGTTTTAGTTTTGGTTTGTTCTGTTTCTTTCTTTATTTATTTATTTCTTTTTTTAATTATTGCTACTATACATGTTTTAAAGGAAGGTAAAGAATTTCAGAAAAATTTTGCCAAAGAAGTTGTTTTGCTACATTCGCCTGGAAAAAGAGAAATCATGTGAAAATACTCAGTTTGATACAATCTAAGATAATATTTCCATATGAATATAATAGCTGCATTTGCTTAATCTTGTGGTGTGAACTGTACTATGCTGAAAGCAGTATTTTCTGTGGGAGAATGATAAAAATTATTTTCCTGTTAATTTACTTTTAATTCTTCTTAATATACATTTGAAACATGCAGAACATTAAAAAGCATGATGAGCTGTGATTCTTTTTAATTTTTTTAACCCTTTCTTTTAAACCATGGTAACTAACTTACTTCATTCTTTTCCTTCCTTTTATAGGCTAGCAAAAAATATTATAGTGTTTATGCACAAAGCAGAAGTATTATTTATATATATTTTTTTCAATTACAG